CCACCAAAGACCTGAAGTTCGCGATCAGATCGCTTGGATTCGAGCCGAAGAAGGAGGAGATAAAGAAAATGGTGGAACAGATCGACCGAAACGCGAGTGGATTCATAGGCTATGAGGACTTCCTGTCGGTGATGGCCAAGAGGTTGGCCGAGAAGGACACGAACGACGAGATAATGAAAGCGTTTTCGTTGTTTGATTGCGACAAAAGCGGAACCATTTCGTTGGATAACTTGAAACGTGTGGCCAAAGAGTTGGGCGAAACCATCAGCGATGACGAGCTCAAGGAAATGATTGTCGAGGCGGACAGGGATGGCGACGGACTCGTCAACGCCAATGAGTTCCTCCGCATTATGAAGAAGACCTGTTTGTACTGAACACCGGTTCCCCTCTTAAGCGCCCACTCATTGGTGTCTTATTTAATGTCATGTTTTGATGTCTTATTTATATTTGTATTTAATATTCGTTTCATTGAATGCATTGTTTTATATTCTTAGCCATTATTCCTATTACTGTATTATGTTATCGATATTATTATAGAATTTATGAATAAATGTATCTTGATTGTTATTTATTGATTGTCACAAATATTTATTATCTATGATTAGAAGTATTACATTTAATAAATTACAATATGCTGAATGATTATAATTAGTATTGTATTTAAAAAACTTATTTATTTCGAAATGAAATGAACATCTATTATAGTAGAGTACAGATTCTGTACTACAGATTCTGTACTACAGAACGAGCAAAAGTTCACATTTGGTTTGAATTCAAACTGGGCCAGCTCACACTATTGTAACAGAAATCCGGGGCCCGGATTCTGGATTCACTGGATTCCGGGTGAACAACAATGTCCTGTGGCTGGACATTGATGCGTCCGGAGTAACAAAAGAATTCCCGATCACTGAAGTTATACGTGCGGAGCAAATGGTTATTGATTCGGTCCCTATTGACCACAACCACAAAGTCAGCCTTATCTGTGTATAGGAAACTGGTGGGCCCGTAGTTGTTGTCGAGTATTTTGGAGTGGATGTATGGATCCAAATCGTTCAAATAGATGCCGGTCTCGAACTCGCCCACCGGTGCCGAGGGTCTGATGAAGCCGTCCCTCGCAATGCCAGCCGCACCCGCCCTATCCGTGTAGTGGTAGAGCAGTGCATTACCCTGGTACATCAAGTCGTCGATGTCGAGATTCATAGTCTTGATTTGATGGCAATTAATGAGACACTAATGTACTCACAGTTTGAAATAACTTAAATGTACTGTATTACTTACAAGTAGATTGAATGAACATAATTTAATAAGAGTAATTTTATTAAAAAATGAATTAAATTAAATGAAATTAATTTTTACAAGGTTTGATTAGCTAACATAAATACTAATAAAAGAATTATTGCTATTATATAAATGATCGTGTACAATTATAAATTAGGGGCGAATGTATCTAAGTGCTGGTCTTAACTTTCTGCCACTTCGGGTCCCTATAGTTTGTATAGTATTGGTATATAATGGCGATCATAGATAAGACAAAAGTTAACAATAAGACTATGGAAACAATTAACGCAATCATCGCTAAACGAGTACTTCTTTCTAATTTAATGAAATAGTTATGACACGAATCAAGTGTTGTATTCTTCCAGGAGTTCCACAGCTGAAGAGTCTTGTCGACAGACTCGCAGCTATGAAATGTGGATATAGTGTAGAGTTTGCAGGCATTGATTCCACACAATTCGGTGTCCGATTCACTTAAGAAGAGCTCCTGACTGTTGTGTATTTGGATATTAAACTTTTGGGGTATAATTCCCGTCAAATAGAGATCATCGATCTTGAGCACAGGTCCGGAACCGTTGATGGCTGAGTTATATAACTTCTCAACGATGTCAGTGGACATGATATAAGCAGCGCCGCACAGGTAAGGTGGATATAAATCCTTAGGATATACATGTCTGGGAACAAACCATTTACTACTTTCATCGCGAATTACTTCGGAATATGTGAACAAAGTTCCTGTGATTCCCGACTCGAATGTCTTGCTATCGATTCTTTCCCTCAATCTCTGGGAGTTCACCACAATATCGTCATCTGTTTTGATGACATAGTCGTTGACTAAACAGTTATTTGAAATCCAGTTCAAGAGAGCGATTGCTTTAAGCGTGAGATTGTGGTAATCGTCGATAAAAGCAAACTGAAGAATATCTCCAAAACGATTTGCTTCGACAAGAATCTCGTGCTGAGTGTTTGCATCTCGAGAGAGGGCCAACACGAAGATTACATTAAACCGGTGTTTCAGTGCCTCCATAGCCCAGGTCTCTCGCGTCACTTTTCTGCGGTCATAGTATTTACCGGAAGTTCTGGCGGCCGAGTGAACGAAGATATTAGTTATTTCTGGTCTACACTTCGGTTGTTGTATTCGTACACTCCTTGTGAGCTCTAATTCTTGTAAACTGTGTTCATATTGCACTCCAAACACATATTCCGTGTTTTGTAATGTGTTCATCAAAATAATGAACAAAAGTCGTGATAATAAGAGAGTCGGCATTACTTCAAAGTCAC